CACAAAGGCACAGATACCTAAACAAGACCATATCTGCAGATTAAACTTTCTTTGTAGAAGCATTTTTTAAATTTGAACTAGCACCTCATGACTACACCACGTTATGTACGAGAAGCTGCAAAAGACACAGGCACAAGTGGATTGTAAAAAACACGGTGAAATTTATTTTTAAGTAAATATAATGTGCGATATATTGCGTCACCAAAAATGATTGAGGTCATGTACATATATTGCACGATAAGTCGATATATTGATTATTGCGACAGGCCTAAAGCAGAATAATTGCAACATAAAGGTTAAAAGTGGAGATATGGTAAGAAAGTATGAAGCTCACGAATGCCCTCATGCCAGTCTGTCAGTCAAATCTGAAGAACGACATAACCCAAAGCAATGCATATAACGACATCTCAACACAGTCTGTCGGAAGGTAAAAGTAAACGATAAATGACTGATTAAGTGTGCATTACATTTGTTAAACATGGATGCTTGAATAGACTTCACTGGTTGTTGCGCGCTATGCACGTACATTTTCAACAACTTCTTTTCCTTTTAATGGCGGTTGGTAAACACACTTAAAGGTGCATACTAGGGCTGTGCGATTAATTGAAATTGTCATAAAATCGCGATTTGAGCATGCGCGATTTCTAAATCGCTTTACAACATGATTTTCCGCGGCCCCGACCTCCCGCAGTATGCTATCAGAACCAATCAGAATGCAGCGTGCCTAAATGGAGCACGAGAACAGAACAGACTGGGCGGGCATACAAACATAACGCCAGGTTCACACACTCCGTCTGTGGTGCGTATTTTGTCAGCGCCCATGTTAACGGATCAGAGCGTTCACACTGCACGCTAGAGGTCTGCATTCTGGGAGGTCTGGGAGAGCCGTGGGACCCGACCAGATTTTTTGCGCCACGGCATTAGAATCCCGAATAAAACGCAGTAGCAGTCGGTAACTCTGGTGTAATTTGAACGGGAGCAGGCGGTCTAACAATATCCCGTTCCCGACGTCCATTTAGAACAGCATATCTGCGCTTTAT